CTCCCCCCAGTCTCTCCCCCCCTCTGTCTCTCCCCCCCTGTCTCTCCCCCCGTCTCTCCCCCTCCCTGTCTCTCCACCTCCCTGTCTCGCTACCCCCTGCTCTGTCATCTCCTCCCTCTGTCCTCTCCCCCCACTGTTCTCCCCCTCCCTGTCTCTTCTCCGCCCTCCCTGTCTCCTCACCCCTGCTGTCGCTCGTCTCTCCTCTCCCTGTCGCTCCGCCCTCCCTGTCTCTCCCCCCCTTCTGTCTCTCCGCGCCCCCCTCTGTCTCTCCCCCCCGTCTCTCCCCCCCCCCCCGTCTCTCCTCCCTCCAGGTTCTCTCTCCTCGCCCTCCCTCCCTGTCTCTCCCCCCCCCCTGTCTCTCCCCCCCTCTGTCTCTCCCCCCTCTGTCTCTCCCCCTCCCTGTCTCTCCCCCCCTCTGTCTCTCCCCCTCCCTGTCTCTCCCCCTCTCTGTCTCTCCCCCTCCCTGTCTCTCCCCCTCCCTGTCTCTCCCCCTCCCTGTCTCTCCTCCCTCTGTCTCTCCCCCCTCTGTCTCTCCCCCCTCTGTCTCTCCCCCCCCTGTCTCTCCCCCCCCCTGTCTCTCCCCCTCCCTATCTCTCCCCCCTCTCTGTCTGTCCTCCCTCTGTCTCTCCCCCCCTCTGTCTCTCCCCCTCCCTGTCTCTCCCCCCCTGTCTCTCCCCCTCCCTGTCTCTCCCCCTCCCTGTCTCTCCCCACTCTGTCTCTCCCCCTCCGTCTCTCCCCCTCCCTGTCTCTCCCCCCTCTGTCTCTCCTCCCTCTGTCTCTCCCCCCTCTGTCTCTTCCCCTCCCTGTCTCTCCCCCCTCTGTCTCTCTCCCTCCCTGTCTCTCCCCCCTCTGTCTCTCCCCCCTCTGTCTCTCCCCCTCTGTCTCTCCCCCTCTGTCTCTCCTCCCTCTGTCTCTCCCCCCTCCCTGTCTCTCCCCCCTCTGTCTCTTCCCCCTCTGTCTCTCCCCCTCCCTGTCTCTCCCCCCTCTGTCTCTCCCCCCTCTGTCTCTCCCCCTCCCTGTCTCTCCCCCTCCCTGTCTCTCCCCCCTCCCTGTCTCTCCCCCTCCCTGTCTCTCCCCCTCCCTGTCTCTCCCCACTCTGTCTCTCCCCCTCCGTCTCTCCCCCTCCCTGTCTCTCCCCCCTCTGTCTCTCCTCCCTCTGTCTCTCCCCCCTCTGTCTCTCCCCCTCCCTGTCTCTCCCCCCTCTGTCTCTCCCTCTCCCTGTCTCTGCTCCTCCCTGTCTCTCCCCCCCTCTCTGTCTCTCCTCCCTCTGTCTCTCCCCAATCTGTCTCTCCCCAATCTGTCTCTCCCCCTCCGTCTCTCCCCCTCCCTGTCTCTCCCCCCTCTCTATCTCTCCTCCCTCTGTCTCTCCCCCCTCCCTGTCTCTCCCCCCCTCTGTCTCTCCCCCCCTCTGTCTCTCCCCCCTCTGTCTCTCCCCAATCTGTCTCTGTCTCTGCCTCTCTAGGGCTCACACTGGTGCAGTCTGCCAGGCCTGGGGCACAGAGGGCGGGCGGCGGGATCTGGTCACTCAGGCCAGGACCAGCCCACAGACCACTTTGCCAGGGCGGAGCAGCAAGGACGGTTCGTGTGCGTCCTGCCGCCTCCCTCAGCCCCAGGGACAGCCCCCGGGTGAGGTGGCCGCTGCAGCAGTGCCCAGGAATGCTGCGGGCCAGGCGGCCAGGTGGCAGGGCGGCACGGCTCCGAGGCCTCTGCAGCCTCCAGCTATTTCCTGGGCGGCACCTCCTGGAGGGCTAAGCCGTACCCTTGGGCGCCCGCAGCCCACGCCGTGGACCTGCCGGTCCCTGCACCCCCCCTTCCAGCGACGTGGAGGCCCCCGAGGAGAGGAACTGCCTGTGGGAGGCCCAGGGGGCCTCGGGACCACAGGGGGCACATGCGCCCCGAACTGTGCCAAGAAGTCTTTCTCAGGAAAACGAGCTTATTGGAAACGGGGCTGACCCTGAGAGCTCCGTCTGCTTCAGCCCATGCATTTGTGTGTGCCTCCCCCCTCCCCCTCCCCTTTCCCCCTTCTCCCCTCCATCCCCTCCTACTCCCTCCTCTCCCCCCATCTCCTTCTCCCCCTCCCCTCCCCCTCCCCTCCTTCCTGCCTCTCCTCTTCCTCCCTCTCCCCCTCCTCCCTGTCCACCTCTTTCCTCCCCAGTCTGGGACCCCTCAGGTCCTGGTGCCGCCTGGGTGGGGGGGGGTCCTAGCAGCCACTGGGCCTGCGGGAGGGGCTCCAGGAAGGTGGGTGCAGGAGGAAGGCCGGACGGGGAGGAGTGGGCTCGGAGCCGGAGCCGCGGCACAGGCAGGGGACCGCCCCGCCCCCGCAGCCCTGGCTGCAGCCTGAGGGCCCGCTCTCCGCCCTGCGGTGACCTCAGGGGGCAGCCACCTTGCCTGGCCAGGTCCCCGTCCAAGGCCCACACCCGCCTGGGGCCCACGTCTCTTTCGTCGCCCAGGCCCCTTCCCAGGCCCCCTTCGATGCCCTGGCCTGGCCGCTCCACCCCTGCCCGGCTCCGGGGTCAGGCGGGAGGTGAAGCCCGGCGCCCGGGTGCTGAGGCGGGCAGCGGGCGCTGGGCGAGGCGCAGGCACGCGGTGCCCTCCGGCAGGTGGCCTGGCTGACGCGTCCCCGGAGCAGGTCCCAGTGCTGACACCGCCCGTTGGCACTCGGATGGTGCGGGCGGACAGGGAGGCGCTGCCTCCAGGAGGCCGTGTCACCAGCTGCACCCCCTCCTCCGGCTCCCGGGCCGGGCCGGGTCCTCCCTAAGGCTCCTCTGGGATGAGGGCAGTGAGGGTCTCACTACCGCTCCAGGACCCGTTCCCAGGGGGCGCTCTGCCGGGCTGGGGCAGGAAGCTCGGGGCGGTTTACAAGGGGAATGTGAGGGTCCAGGGGTGTGCAGGCCTCAGGCTGGGGTGGCGCAGCGGGAGGGGGAGCAGAGTAAATGGGGGCTCCTGGGGGGCCGCGCCAGGCAGCAGTGATGGAGGGCTTGTGCCCAGGCGCGCCCCCTCTGCCAGGTGTCACCAGGAGCCCCACCCTCCGTGGACAGAGCTGCGATCTGGCTCACCGGGGCGGCCACGGAGGCAGTGCCACGTCCCCGGGGCCCCCACCCCGACCCACCTTCCTTGGGGGTGTCTTGCTGAGGCAGCTCTCCTGATACGAGGAGAGACATCGGTGCCGTGGGCGGGGCGTCCGGTCCAGCTGGAGCTGCCAGCGGGGCCCAGGGGCCGGGCCATTGCGGGGCAGCTGGGCCAGCAGCCAGCATCCGAGCTCCTGCTGTGCGCCGGGCTCAGTGCCGCCCTGACCCGGGACCCTTCGCAGCCCCTGCCAGACGGGCTGTGGAGCCCTGTTACAGGCGGCAGGGCCGAGCTCAGAGAGGGAAACGTGCGCTGGCCGCACAGCAGTGGGGATGGGCGGCCTGCGTGCTGCTCGGCCTGCCTCAGGGTCCAAGCCCCCACCGGCTCACGCACGGCCGCGCGCCCCCTCCCCCCAGCCCCCGAGAGCCCGGCTCTCCTAGCCCAGGGACCCCAGCGCCCTCGCTCCCTGCCTCGGGGAAGGAAGAAAAGATACCCTCTCCCTGCGGTGACAGCTGCGGGGCCACCAGGCGCCCCTCAGTCTGCCATCCATGGCTCAGCACTTGGGGCCTTCCCAGCCAGGCCCCGGCCACACGCAGGGTCCCTGCAGGAGCCGCCGAGGGGCCTGGCCGGGGTGGGCCCGGCTCTGTGCTGCCCTTGCCAAGAGGCAGGCCTGGGCTGTCACAGACCGGGGGAGCCCCCCGCCCGCTGTGCCACCCACCGCAGGGCCAGTTGGCGGCGGCAGCCGAGGCCAAGGCCAGTGGCAAGGCCGTGCCCAGCTCCTGCGGTTATGGGGGAGGGCCGTGGGGCAGCCCGGGGCGCCGGCGGCACAGATGGTTCTCATTGCCGCCTCCTCTTCCTCAGAAAAACAGGCCGCCCGCCGCCCGCCGCCCGCGTTATCTCGGGTTCACGTCCCCTCTCCGCTGCCTGGGCCTGACGGGCCTGTGGGCTGCGTCTGCCCGCGGTCTGGCTGGGAGGCTGCGGCGTCTCTCTGACCGGCCTCTCCGGGAGGGGCTGGGCGGGGGGGAGGAGGGGGCTGAGGGGGAGCAGCCCACTTCCCGCCCCTGGACCGTCTGCATCCCGCTGGGTCCCAGGACTCTCCGGGGCTTGGGGTCTCCTGGCTGCACCAGGAAGGGTCAGGGGGTGCGACCCGCGTGTGCCCGCTGTGCCCGGGAGCTGGCCCTGCCCCGACTGGAGGGGAGGACGCCCTGAGCGGGCAGAGCCAGGGCCAGGGCAGGCGGCTGAGGCCCCATCTCACAGTCTGGCCTTCGGGGCGCTGGGGATTCAGAGCAGGAGGCGGCTCGGCGCCCACACCGGCCGGCCGCTCAGAGGCAGCCCTCCCCGCATCCTCCCAGCCCCATGCACCTCCCTCCCCGCAGGGAAGGCCCAGGGCAGGAGGGAACGTGGCGCTGCAGGCTCCGGCCTGGTGGTGAGGAAAGCAGGGCCCGGGCTGCCTCTGTCCACTGCGTCTGGCCAGGCCCAGGCCCTCCACACCCTCCTCCTCCTCCCTCCTCCCGGGCCGGGGTCACCGGGCAGCGCTGCTGTGTGCGATCCGCACCCCCAGGTCTAACCAGGGCTCCCGATGCCCACGCCCCCAGGTAAGGGGGGCAGGGGCCTGGGCCGGAGGGGGCAGAGGGTCACCAGGGGGCGGGTGCGAACAAAGGCGGCGGGCCTCCAGCCGCCCACGTGGGGCGGCAGGCGGGGCGGGGGCGGCCAGCGGGCTCCGCGGTGGGGCCCTGGATCCGGGTCCGGGAGCCCCAGCGCCGCCGGGTGCCGGGCGCAGGAGGTCCCGCCGCGGGCCCGCCGCCGCCGCCGCCGCCGTGCCCTCCCCTCCCCGCGGGGAGGAGGGACGTGACATCACGGCCGCGGGGAGGAGGGCGGCGCCGGCACATCACTTCCTCGGCGCCCGGCCGGGCCGCGGGCGGACGGACGGACAGACAGACAGCGGACCGGCGGCGGCGGAGGCGCGCGGGGACCCGCGGGCGCGGCGCGAGGAGGGCCCGGCCCTCGGCGACCCCGGCCCATGGCCAGCCCGGCCCCGCCCGCCGCGGAGGAGCTGCCCGGCGCGGCGCGGCGCCTGGGCTCCAGGTGGGGGCGCGGGGGGCGCGGAGCCGGGGACCCGGGGGACGCGGGGGGCGCGGGGCCGGGGGCGCGGGGGGCGCTGGGCCGGGGGACCGGGGGGCGCGGGGGAACGCGGGGCCGGAGGGGAGGCCGGCGACCCGAACAAAGGCAGCGGCAGCGGCGGTGGCGGCAGCGGCGGGCGCGCAACGTGGCGAGGACGCGCCTCCCCTCCGGGGCGCAGGGCTGGGGGGCGCCCGGTGAGGAGCGGGGATGCGGGAGGGGAGGGGGGCCCCCGAAAAGCGGGTGTGGGGGTGCAGGGCCCGCCCGGAGAGCTGGGGACCCCAAAGGCCCGCAGAGGGGCGGGCAGGGGGCGGCTGGGATGCCCGGGACCCCCTCCCAGACTGGAAACTGGCCGCTCCTCCCCGCGTGGACCGCCTGGCACGGCCGGAGGGGGCGGGGGCTGCCAGCCACTCCGGCTCAGCCTGGCATCCCCCCGCACGGCCTCTGCCCGCCCCCCGCCCCAGCCCGGCCTAGCGGGTGGCCCTGGGAGAGGCTGCAGTGCCAGCCACCAGGTGGGTGTGTGCCGCCTCCAAAGACACCTGCCTCCGGGCGGACGCACCGCGATGGCACGGCCTGGGCTCGGCCCCGTGCCCGGCAGGGACGGCAGGGTGGCCCTGCCCAGGGCGGCGTGCCTGCCTGCTGACTCCAGGCCTGTGCAGGGTGTGCCACAGGGGGATGCCCTGGGCCAGTGTCCAGACCAGCGGGCAGGTGTGCGAGCGGGCAGCGCGGCTCTCGGCAGCGCCCGGGGGTGAGCCTGACAGCACCTTCCTGGCCCTGACCTGAAAGGACATGGTCACCCCAGCTCCCCGGCCGCCCTAAGACCCGGCCTCGGGCAGCCCAGCAGCGGGAGCCTCTGCCGGCGCCCAGGGCAGAGTGAGGGCAGAGTGAGGGCGCGGCGGCGGGAAAGGCCCTGCCTGCCGCCTCCCTGCTGCTGAGGAGACACAGCCCCATTGTGTGGCTCCGGGCGCGGGCTGGGCCGGTGGCTCCTGGGCCCCTCGCTGGGGGGGTGTGGGTGGGCTTGCTGGCAGCTGCAGCAGGAGGCCGCCCTGAAGGACCCCTCCAGGCCCCAGGAGGGAGGGCTGTGCAGGCAGCAATGGCCCCGGGTCCTGCTTGACGGAGAGCCGGTGTTCGGTCCCAAAGAGCCGCAGGAGTCCACCCTGCTGCACCGGCTGTGTGCAGTCCGGTGTGTGTGCATGCATGTGTGAGTGTGTGCGTGCATGTGTGTGCGTGCATGTATGGGAGTGTGTACGTGTGAGAGTGTGTGTATGTGTGAGAGAGAGAGACCAGCAGAGGCTGGGAGACCACGCACAGCTGGAGGCCCACAGCCTCCTGGTCACCCCCGGCTTGCGATGGGAGCGAGGTGCGGGTGGTGCCGAGCCCAGCGGGGGGACCAGACGGGACTCCGGCCCGGAGACAGCGGAGGGGACGCGGGAGAGGCCTGGTCCCGGCCTGCATCCTGGGGTGGGCCGTGTGCCTGGACGCCTGCGTGTCGGGAGGAGGGGAAGCCCCGGTGATATGGCGAGCGGGCAGGAAGGCTGGCCACTGGGGAGCCATAGCCACTCATCGCCGGGACCAGCGGCGGCGGGAGCTTGGCAGACGCCAGCCGCCGCCACTGCGGTCTGGCTGCTGGGAAAGCCGCCGCCGGCCCCCGGCGAGGAGAGGCGCGCGGTCAGGCGTGCTGAGAGCAGCCACTGGGCTTTGGGCGGTGAGTCGGGGGGCGGCTACGACCACAGCCCAGGGACCAGGGACCCCTGGCCGGCCGGGCCTGACTCCTGCCCCGAGAGTGGGCGCCCTGGCAGCCCATGGGTGCACAGGCCTCGCGGAGGCCCTGCAGCCTTCAGGGTGGGGATCCGGCAGCCGGCAGGAGGGCTGACCGGGCACGGGGGCACCTCGCCAGGTGGGGGCAGACACCCACAGGCCTGGCGGTGCTGGGCGGCCTCACAGGGCCCCGAGTGGTGGCCTGCAGGGCATGTGCCAGGCAGCAGCCTTGGGGGCTGGATCGGGGCCTGGGGGTGGTGCGAGCCTGCAGGGTTTGGGGGTTCAGCTCCTCAGCAGGGGCTGGGAACGGAAGAGATGATCTAGGCCCCGTCCTATCGGCTGAGCTATCCTGGGGGCGGATGGTGGCCTCAGGGCAGGTGGGGGGTGCCCGGCCGGACACCCTTGGGAGCAGCATCTGGTGTGGGCGGGGGCCTGGCCCCCCACTCGGCATGCACTGCCCAGGTCCTCCCAGGGCTCTGCCCTCTGGACCCCACCCTCACGTGGGCCGGACCTGCAGCCCCCTCGTGCTGGCCCCGCCGTGTGGTGGAGCCCACCCTGCCTCCAAGCCCCTCACCCCTCGCTGACCTCCCCCCACTCTGCGGTTCCCGGCTGCTCAGCCTTGGGGAACCCCCCACCCCAGGGCCCACCACGGAGAAGGCGTGGGACTGGCAGGAAGGGTGCCCACGAGGGGGCAGAGGGAACTCTGGGAGGGCCCAGGGGCTTCTGGGAGGGGCAGCACCAGGACGGCGGGAGGGGAGGCCCCGGAGACACCTGCCCGGCCCCCATGCGGCTCCCTGCTGGCCAGCTCTGCGCCTCCCACCCCGCTCCTCCCCGCTCCTCCCTCTGCGGGGAGGTCCTCACCCGCCCCCTCACGGCCGCGCCGAGGGGCTGGCACAGTTCAGAAAGGAGCTGGGGGGAGTGTCCCCCGCCGGGAGCCTCCCCGGCCCTCACCGGGGACCTGGAGCTCCTCTTGGGGCTCAGGGCAGGGAACCCTACAGCCCCGGAGGGTGGGAGGCACCAGCAGGATGACCTGATTTGGGGCTCCCGTCTGTGGGCCTGCTGGGAGCCGGGCGCCGTGGCTGTGGCTGCGAGCCGGGCACCGTGTGCTGAGAGCCGGGCGCCGTGTGCTGCGTGCCGGGCGCCGTGTGCTGCGAGCCGGGCGCCGTGTCCGTGTGCCGTGAGCCGGGCGCCGTGTGCTGAGAGCCGGGAGCCGTGTCCGTGTGCTGAGAGCCGGGCGCCGTGTCCGTGTGCTGAGAGCCGGGCGCCGTGTCCGTGTGCTGCGAGCCGGGCGCCGTGTCCGTGTGCTGAGAGCCGGGCGCCGTGTCCGTGTGCTGTGTGCCAGGCACCGTGTCCGTGTGCTATGAGCCGGGCACCGTGTGCTGAGAGCCGGGCGCCGTGTCCGTGTGCTGTGAGCCGGGCACCGTGTGCTGTGAGCCGGGCACCGTGTGCTGTGTGCCGGGCGCCGTGTCCGTGTGCTGTGTGCTGGGCACCGTGTCCGTGTGCTGTGAGCCGGGCGCCGTGTGCTGTGTGCCGGGCACCGTGTCCGTGTGCTGTGTGCCGGGCACCGTGTCCGTGTGCTGCGTGCCGGGCGCCGTGTCCGTGTGCTGTGTGCCGGGCACCGTGTCCGTGTGCTGCATGCCGGGCACCGTGTCCGTGTGCTGTGTGCCGGGCACCGTGTCCGTGTGCTGCATGCCGGGCACCGTGTCCATGTGCCGTGAGCCGGGCGCCGTGTGCTGCGTGCCAGGCACCGTGTCTGTGTGCTATGTGCTGGGCACCGTGTGCTATGTGCCGGGCGCCGTGGCTGCGTGCCGGGCGCCGTGTGCTGTGAGCCGGGCGCCGTGTGCTGAGAGCCGGGCGCCGTGTCCGTGTGCTGTGTGCCGGGCACCGTGTCCGTGTGCTGTGAGCCGGGCACCGTGTCCATGTGCTGTGTGCCGGGCACTGTGTCCGTGTGCTGTGAGCCGGGCGCCGTGTGCTGAGAGCCGGGCACCATGTGCTGTGTGCCGGGCGCCGTGTGCTGCGTGCCGGGCACCGTGTCCGTGTGCTGTGAGCCGGGCGCCGTGTGCTGTGAGCCGGGCACCGTGTCCGTGTGCTGTGAGCCGGGCGCCGTGTGCTGTGAGCCGGGCACCGTGTCCGTGTGCTGCGTGCCGGGCACCGTGTCCGTGTGCCGTGAGCCGGGCGCCGTGTGCTGCGTGCCAGGCACCGTGTCTGTGTGCTATGTGCCGGGCGCCGTGTGCTGTGAGCCAGGCGCCGTGTCCGTGTGCTGTGAGCCGGGCACCGTGTCCATGTGCTGTGTGCCGGGCACTGTGTCCGTGTGCTGTGAGCCGGGCGCCGTGTGCTGAGAGCCGGGCACCATGTGCTGTGTGCCGGGCGCCGTGTGCTGCGTGCCGGGCACCGTGTCCGTGTGCTGTGAGCCGGGCGCCGTGTGCTGAGAGCCGGGCACCATGTGCTGTGTGCCGGGTGCCGTGTGCTGAGAGCCGGGCACCATGTGCTATGTGCCGGGCGCCGTGTGCTGAGAGCCGGGCACCATGTGCTGTGTGCCGGGCGCCGTGTGCTGTGTGCCGGGCACCATGTGCTGTGTGCAGGGCGCCGTGTGCTGAGAGCCGGGCACCATGTGCTGTGCGGGCGGGGGGAGGTGTATAGGGCGGCTGTGCGGGCGGCTGTGCGGTCGGGGGGAGGTGTGTGCGGGCGGCTGTGCGGGCGGGGGGAGGTGTATAGGGCGGCTGTGCGGTCGGGGGGAGGTGTATAGGGCGGCTGTGCGGTCGGGGGGAGGTGTGTGCGGGCGGCTGTGCGGGCGGGGGGAGGTGTATAGGGCGGCTGTGCGGTCGGGGGGAGGTGTATAGGGCGGCTGTGCGGTCGGGGGGAGGTGTGTGCGGGCGGCTGTGCGGTCGGGGGGAGGTGTGTGCGGGCGGCTGTCCGGTCGGGGGAGGTGTGTGCGGGCGGCTGTGCGGGCGGGGGGAGGTGTATAGGGCGGCTGTGCGGTCGGGGGGAGGTGTGTGCGGGCGGCTGTGCGGGCGGGGGGAGGTGTATAGGGCGGCTGTGCGGTCGGGGGGAGGTGTGTGCGGGCGGCTGTGCGGGCGGGGGAGGTGTGTGCGGGCGGCTGTGCGGGCGGGGGGAGGTGTGTGCGGGCGGCTGTGCGGGCGGCTGTGCGGTCGGGGGGAGGTGTAAAGGGCGGCTGTGCGGTCGGGGGGAGGTGTATAGGGCGGCTGTCCGGTCGGGGGGAGGTGTATAGGGCGGCTGTGCGGGCGGGGGGAGGTGTGTGCGGGCGGCTGTGCGGTCGGGGGGAGGTGTGTGCGGGCGGCTGTGCGGTCGGGGGGAGGTGTGTAGGGCGGCTGTCCGGTCGGGGGGAGGTGTGTGCGGGCGGCTGTGCGGTCGGGGGGAGGTGTATAGGGCGGCTGTCCGGTCGGGGGGAGGTGTATAGGGCGGCTGTGCGGTCGGGGGGAGGTGTGTGCGGGCGGCTGTGCGGGCGGGGGAGGTGTGTGCGGGCGGCTGTCCGGTCGGGGGGAGGTGTGTGCGGGCGGCTGTCCGGTCGGGGGGAGGTGTGTGCGGGCGGCTGTCCGGTCGGGGGAGGTGTGTGCGGGCGGCTGTGCGGTCGGGGGGAGGTGTGTGCGGGCGGCTGTCCGGTCGGGGGAGGTGTGTGCGGGCGGCTGTGCGGGCGGGGGGAGGTGTGTGCGGGCGCCGGGCAGGCTCACCCCCTCTCCCCGCAGGATGGAGGCCTCATGCCTGGAGCTGGCCCTGGAGGGCGAGCGCCTGTGCAAGGCGGGCGACTTCAAGGCGGGCGTGGCCTTCTTCGAGGCGGCCGTGCAGGTGGGCACCGAGGACCTGCGGACGCTGAGCGCCATCTACAGCCAGCTGGGCAACGCCTACTTCTACCTCAAGGAGTTCGCCCGCGCCCTGGCCTACCACCGGCACGACCTGCTGCTGGCCCGGTGAGGGGGCGGGCTCAGTGAGCGGGCCGGCCTGGTGGGGGGGGGTGAGCGGGGAGGGCCCGGTGAGCGGGGCGGGCCCGGTGAGGGGGGGAGCGGGGGTGGGCGTGGTCAGGGGGGGAGCGGGGGTGGGTATGGTGAGGGGGGAGGGCCCGGGGAGGGGGGGGAGGGGGGCATGGGGAGGGGGGAGGGCCCGGGGAGCGGGGGCAGGCGCAGGAGCGGGGGTGCAGGGGTGTGGGCACGGGAGCAGGGAGCCTCAGGGTGCAGGCCCTCAGGGCCTGGCTGTCAGTGCCAGGTGGGGGGTAGGGGGTCAGCTCTCAGGTCCACAGGGGCCTGGGAGGGGGGCCAGCATGCAGGAAGTGTCCCCAGCTGAGACACGTGTGAGCATGTCTCTCTATGTCAGTGGGTGAGAGCACGGGTGAGGCCCAGTGTCCCCTGTGCATGAGCACATGTGTGTGTCCGTGTGTTGGTGCCAGTCTCCGGGGCTGTGTGGAGAGGGGTGTCCACCCTCCCTGCCCCTGCTCTCCTCCGGCCTCAACTCCACAGCCTCCCTCCCGTGTCCCTGTCCTCCGGCCCCTCCTGCCCCTCCTGTCCTCCGGCCCCTCCTGCCCTCCGGCCCCTCTGCAGGCTGCAGTAGCCCCTCCCCAGCCACCTCAGCGCCGGGCGCCCAGCAGACCCCGCCCCCTCCCCCGCCTCAGGCAGGTCAAACTCCCTGCGAGTCAGAACGTTAGTTCTCACTTCAAGGCCCCCCCCTCCCGCCCTGCTGCTCGACCCGGGGCCTCCCTGAGCCCGGCTCCCCAGACCTGCCCACGGGCGGTCACCCTGAGGTGTGCGCCTGCTCCCCCGCCTCCAGGACCATCGGCGACCGCATGGGGGAGGCCAAGGCCAGCGGGAACCTGGGCAACACGCTCAAGGTCCTCGGCCGCTTTGACGAGGCTGCGGTCTGCTGCCAGCGGCACCTGGACATCGCCCAGGAGCAGGGCGACAAGGTGGGCCGGCCAGCGCCCCCTCCCCGCCCCCACAGCAGCACGTGGCCTGGGGGTGCCCTCCCCAGTCCTGGCTTTGGGGCCCGGGACAGCCTGGAGGGACGGGACGGGACGGGACGTGCCTGCCGGGGGCGACGCCTCCCCCAGACGTGGCTCCGGCCCCCGTGCCGCCCGCAGGTCGGAGAGGCCCGGGCGCTGTACAACATGGGGAACGTGTTCCACGCCAAGGGCAAGCAGCTGTCCTGGAGCGCCGCCCAGGACCCCGGGCGCCTGCCCCCCGACGCCCGCGAGGCGCTGCGCAGAGCCTCCGAGTTCTATGAGTGAGCGGGGCGGGGGGGAGGAGGGGGGCACGGATCTCACACACACTCAACACACACACACAGAGAGACACACACACACACAGAGACACACACACCCTCCGCCCGCCCTGCCTGCCTGCGTGGCCAGGCACAGCCCCCCCTTCCCGGAGGCCCGGACAGGGGCAGCCGGGCTGGCCTTCCCCTCCCCCCAGGCCCCCTCCGGAGCCTCCCTCGGCGGCAGGGCAGGTCCTGTGGGTGCTCGCCCCCCGCCGGGGGGGGGGGGGGAGGAGGGAACCGCTCGCCAGGCGCCTGTGGCCCTTAAAGCTCATCGGTGGCCTGGCCAGGCTGGCACCGCCGCCGGGTGGGGGTCCCGGGTCCGGGTCCCTGGGTGCAGGCTCGGAGCCCGCCCGTTCTGAGCTGTGCAGGGGAGCCCGTGGGCGCCTGTCCTATCACTGCTTCTCTTCCTCCCTCCGGACGAGGATCACCAAAACACGGCCAGGCCAGGCTGGCCGAGCGCCTGGGCCGGAGATGGCTTCCCGTTGGGGCGGGTCAATCCGGCCCCGCAGCTCGGACACAGCGAGGGCCCGGAGCTGAGGGACGGCTCAGGGGCTGCCGGGGCGTCCAGGGCCGCCTCTGCCCCGGGCGGCCGGCTCTGACGGACTCGCCCCCAGGAGGAACCTGTCGCTGGTGAAGGAGCTGGGCGACCGGGCGGCCCAGGGCAGGGCCTACGGCAACCTGGGCAACACCCACTACCTGCTGGGGAGCTTCGTGGAGGCCACCACCTTCCACAAGGAGGTGAGGGCGGCCGGGCGGGCAGATGGTGGGGTGGACGGCGGCAGGGCTGCCCCTTGGGGGCGGCCTGACACCCCCCAGGCCGTGCCGGGCTCAGTGCTGGCTCCGGGCTGCCCCTCCGGACGCAGACGGGGGCGGCCACCGTGGGCGGGAAGCACAGTCGTGGGCTCGGTCCCGGCTGCGCGGTGACCAAGGCTGCGGGGTGACCACGGTGCGTCCCCCAGCGCCTGGCCATCGCGAAGGAGTTCGGAGACAAGGCCGCCGAGCGGAGGGCCTACAGCAACCTGGGGAACGCCCACATCTTCCTGGGCCGCTTCGACGTGGCCGCCGAGTACTACAAGTAGGCAGAGGGCCCCGCCGCCCGGCTGAGGGCCTCCCGGTGCCGGTCACTGGGGGCCCGGAGCCAGCACAGCCATGCCCATATGGACTCGGACACTCAGCACCGTTGGCTCTGGGCGCCCTGACGGGGCCAGGACACTCGCAGGCCATTGGCCTCCTGTTTGGGGGGCTGCACGGCGGCCCTGGGCAGAGGCCAGTCCACACGCACTGCCCCGGGGGGGGGCGACTGGCCAGTGTGGGCAGAGCCTGGGGGGGTGCTGCATCCTGACCAAGGGGGGCAGCGCGGTGGCCTCCTGAGAGGGGACCAGCCAGGCCTGGGGGGACTGCTCGCCCCATTGCCCACCCTCCACCTCAGACAGGACAGGGGTGGGGGGCTGTGCAGGGCCCTGCCCCGGGGAGGGGGTGCTGGAGCCCGGGGTGACCTGCCCCGGGGAGGGGGTGCTGGAGCCCGGGGTGACCTGCCCCGGGAGGGGGTGCTGGAGCCCGGGGTGACCTGCCCCGGGAGGGGGTGCTGGAGCCTCGGGGTGACCCGCCTGGGGTGACCTGCCCCGGGAGGGGGTGCTGGAGCCTCGGGGTGATCCGCCCGGGGTGACCGCCCGCAGGAAGACGCTGCAGCTGTCCCGGCAGCTGAAGGACCGGGCGGTGGAGGCGCAGGCCTGCTACAGCCTGGGCAACACCTACACGCTGCTGCAGGACTGCGAGCGGGCCGCCGAGTACCACCTGCGCCACCTGCTCATCGCCCAGGAGCTGGCCGACCGGTGGGTGCCCGCGGCTCCGCAGCCCGCTCCGCCCGACCCCGGGGCCCTGGCAGGGACCCTGGCACAGCCAGCCGGAGGGAGCACTCCGTGGACAGACAGGCCGGGGGTCCCTGGCCACAGCCGCGCCCTCGGTCTGGGGTGGGCCGTGGCCGGGACGGGTGGGGGAGCGGAGGGGCCCCGGGGCGCTGTCCCTCGTGGGGAGGGTTTGGAGCCCGATGGCAGAGGTCACAGGTCGCACGCACTGCCCCCAATCGCGCTCTAGGACGGCAAAGCTTGGTTTAATGGCCCAAGGGGCTGGTGGAGGGAGCCCGAGGGGTGAGAGCCTTGCCGGCCACTAGGGGGCGAGCAAGCCACGCGGGAACCCTGGCAGCGGAGCGTGTCCAGCCCCCCAACTCCACTCCTCGTGGCTGCCACCGCGGACCCCCCTCTGTCCTCCCGCTCCTGGCAGGCTGGGCCTGGCCGCCTGGACGCGGGGGCCTGAGAGGCTGGGCAGGTGGGAGGGCGGCAGGCCTGGGGGGGCGTGCAGATGTGGACTCGGCTTCCCCCCTGGCAGAGTGGGCGAGGGCCGGGCGTGCTGGAGTCTGGGGAACGCCTACGTGTCCATGGGGAGCCCGGCCCAGGCCCTGACCTTCGCCAAGAAGCACCTGGAGATCTCCCAGGAGGTGAGCCCGGCTGCCCGCCCCGCCCCGCCCCGCCCCGCCCCTGCCCCAGCCACTGCTTCCGCCCCCACCCCCGTCCCCGCCCCTGCCCCCACCCCTGCCCCAGCCACTGCCCCCGCCCCTGCCCCAGCCACTGCCCCCACCCCTGCCCCAGCCACTGCCCCCGCCCCCGCCCCTGCCCCTGCCCCCGCCCCTGCCCCAGCCCCTGCCCCCGCCCCTGCCCCCACCACTGCCCCCGCCTGCCTCCAAGGAGCAGCCCCTTCAGAGCAGGGCCCTGCCTCCTCCCCTGGCTCGCCCCAGCGCCTGCCGGACCCCAGGGCCCTGGTCCAGGGGCAGGTGCGGCCTCAGGTGCGGGAGCAGGAGAGCTGGGGCTGGGGGGCCTGGGCGGAGAGCCTGCCCCGGGGCCGCCCTGTCCGTCTGGGCACAGGCCCTGGCGCTCCTGCGGAAGCCCGCCCCCCCGCCCACCTGCCTGCCCGCGGTTCGCTCCTGGTGCTGCACGGCCTCTGACCCAGCTTCTCCGGAGCCTGTCCCAGCAGGAGCCGGGGGAGCCCGGAGCCGGCGGGCACCTGGAGGAGGCAGCCTGGCCGAGCTGGCGAGGCCCATGGAGGGTGCCGAGGAGGGCCCTCGGGCACAGGGCCTGGCTGCTCGGGCCCCAGCCTTCGGGTCAGCGTGGGAGGCGGCCTGGGCGTGAGGCCCCACCCAGGGACAGACCCCCACCTCCGGGGCAGGTGCAGCCCGGCCTCCTTGGAGACCACGGGGCCTCCCGGCCGGCCTGCCCCTGACCGCCCCGTTGGCCGCAGATCGGGGACCGGAACGGGGAGCTGACGGCCCGCATGAACGTGGCGCAGCTGCAGCTGGCGCTGGGCCGGCTGAGCAGCCCGGCGGCCGCCGAGAAGCCAGACCTGGCCGGCTACGAGGCTCAGGGTGAGTCCGCTGGGCGGGCGGGGCCTCGGCAGGCGGGGCCGTGCCCGGAGGCTGCCTGGGAGGGCCTGGCTCTGCAGGGCGGGTGTGCGGGGCCCACAGAGGGGGGCTCTGATCTCAAACAGGGGAGGGGAGCCCCTGGGCCAGGGGGTATCAGCGTTTGACCCGGGGTGGGCGTGAGGGCTCAATGGGCTGTTTGGGCAGGTGCTGGGGCAGTCGGCGGCCCTGCCTCCCCAGGGCAGGTTGGGGCAGGGAGCTGGGATAGGATGAGGCATTCAGGGCTGGAACAGCGTGGGATGGTGTCTCCGAACTCCTCGGGGCCCAGTGTGGGCATCGGGCCCCTTCTTCATGGTTCTGGGCAGCAGGAGCCTGTGGGCACCCTCGGCCGGCAGGAGGGTGTGGGAGGGCCCTCTGCTTCCACCGTGCTGCCCCCCTGCACCCTCGCTGACTGCTCCCAGGGGACCAGATGGGGGGCGGGAGGAGGAGGCTGAGTCAGCAGACCGGCACTGATCGTCCGGCCAGTGTGACCTCATCGCTCACGGCTGCGTCCCCGAGCGGGTCAGCGATGTGTGGGGACAGAGCGTTCCCGCGGAGCGAACAGATGGAGACGGGGGGGGGGGGGGGGGGGGGGGGGGGGGGGGGGGCCGTGGGTGTTGGGTGGCCTCCGGCCGAAAGGTGGCTGCCCTCCCCGCCCGGCGGGTCTTTCTGTTCGGGGGTCTGGCCCCGCCCTGGGTGGCTGTGTCCCGGGGCACCCCCTGCCCCTCACCTGGGCTTGTCCTAGGAGGTGGGGGTACCCGTCACCCCACCTCAGATTGCTGAAGAGTGAAGGGAGGGAGCAGAGGCTTCTGGGAGCCGCAGCCTGCCGGCTCTGGGGGTGCTGTGTCTGAAGGAGACGAGGTGGAGGGGGTCCCGGGAAGCATCAGGCCAGGGTCTCTGAGGATGGGCAGCTCTGGCGGCCCTGGCCCTCGGGCACCGTCCGGGAGCTCGGCGGGAGGCGGGGGCGGGAGGCGGGGGGGGGGGGGGGGGCAGGGCTGGCTGCGCCTGGAAAGGCCCGTCCTCCAGGGAAGGGGGCCGTGGTGGTGAGCAGCCCGCTGAGCCGAACAAGGCGGCTTCTGTCCTCCCGCCAGCTCCTCTGCCGGCCAGGCCCCCGGCAGCACCCCCCAGGCTGGCGGCCGGGGGAGCCGGCGGGCCCTGGGAACAGGCCATCCTGGGGGCGGGGCCCTGCCACTGCCCAGGCCGGAGGGCTGGCCTGGGGGCTGCAGCCTGGAGGCTCCGGCTCTGAGATGGGCCTTTGGGCCACTGGAGGCGGGAGGGGCGCCTGGAGGACACCCCCTCAGGTGGGCCCCGCACGGCTTGCTGCAGGCGGTCAGCATGCATTTCCTCACCCCCCCCATGCCTCCTGAGCGGGGGGGGGGGGGGGGGGGCGCCAGGTCCCAGAGCCAAGCACCTACTGGGAACTCCCTTGGGGGCGGGGCAGGCTCATACTCAGAGTCTGTCCGTCGGGGTGGGGGGTGGAGGGGAACCGGAGACCTGGGAGGGCAGGGGCGCTCAGTGAGGAAGGAGGCCCTGGCTGGGCCCAGGGGGTGCAGGCGATTCGGTGGGCGGGAGCAGAGCAGGGGGCGTGGTCTGCAGTGGGCGTGGCTCGTGGCTGGTGTCTGGCCTTCTTGTCTGGGAGGAATCAGGGCCTCTCCTGCAGCTGGAGGACCCCAGCCTCTCCATTGCTCCATTCCTCCCCTCCCCCCCAGCAGAGAGGCCTCCCCCCAGCGAGTGTGTGTGTGTGTGGGGGTGGGGGGTGCCGTCCTGTCACTGCGTCTGGGCCCCAGAGTCCAGGTGTCCTGGGTGCCCGCTGCCTTCCCACAAGGCACCTGGCAGTGGGCGGGCTGGATGAGGGCCGGGGACACCCCTGGCGGCTGTTCCTGGGTGCAGAGCGGAGTGCGCCAGCGGCCGGCCGCGCTGTGGGGCGTCCCCGGTCGGTCCCCCCGGGCCGGGCTGACGGGCCCCACAGGCTGCACTGCCCTGCGGGTCCCTCCTCCGGTCCCTCTGCGGAGTCCAGGGTGCGGAGCAGAGGGGCCCAGGGCGGGCGGCCTCCTGTCAGGGCTCACAGCTCCATGGAGGTGACCCGTGTGGAGGCGCCCACGGCCGTTCACTGTGGGCTCTGGCCCCGCTCTGCCGTGTCCTGGCTGGCTACGTGCCTCAGTGTTCCCATCTGGGAAGTGGGCCCGTGGTCATCCTAGCAGGAGGGGAGGGAGCAGCAGGGCTGGCCGGGAGGAAGGAGAGCTAATGGGGCCTGAGCAGAGGGATTTGGGCATAGGATGGGGGGCAGGCGGGTTGGGGGGTAGGTGGGCAGAGGGGCATGGGACTCTGTCCGTCCTGGTGAGGCGGCCAGGGGTCGGCTGGGACAGGATGTCGGTGGCTGGCGGGCAGACGTGAGCACCAGGGAAGGAGGGGGGGAGGGGGGACGCGGGAAGTTTCCAGGCCTCGCCCTTGGGTGGGAGGGGCGGGCCGGGCGGGCCGGCGGTGCCCGGCCTGAATGCCCCCAGTCAGCCAAGGTGTGGGCGCCGGGCGGGCAGGCGGAGGCCGGGCTCCGCACACAGAGGACGCATTTAGTGGGCCGAGGCCGCCGGGCTGGCCACGGGACCGCCCGGAGCCGGACGCTGCTGCCGCTGCCGGGGCCGGGGCCGCGGAGGGCCAGGCCTGTCGGAGCGGCCGAGGGGGACCGGAAGACAAGGTGGGGGGCCCGAGGGGGCCCTTAGGGGGTCGGGGGGCCACTGTGTCCGGCCCTGGGGCCCCTCAGCCCTGGGACCGAGGTGTCCCTCCTCCCATCGGTGCAGAGGGCAGAGGCGGGCAGTGCCCAGTGCCGTGGGGGGGGCGGGGGGCGAGGCCTGCTTCTTCCTCGCGGGCTGGAGGAGCGGGGCCCTGACCGTGCTCTGGGCCGGGCCGCCCCCTCCAGGGGGCTCGGGGGCGGGAGGGCAGCAGCGGCTCCGGCTCCGGGGCCACTGTGCTCCCGCCGGCCGGCCGGCTCATTCCCGCCTCTGGAGAGCGGGCGGGTGTGGCCCTCAGAGCCCGGGGGCCGGACGGGGAGAGGGCCCAGCCGCCCAGCCAGCCCTCCAGCCCCCTCTGGACCCCGGTGGCTCCGTCCCTCGGACCGTCCGGGCGGGAGGCGTGGCTGGGGCTGAGGGCGCCCGCTGTGGCCTGCAGCCGGGGGGCCCGCGTGGGGCCTGGCGGGCGAGGGCGGGGTCCAGAGCTCGGGAACGGGCCCTCACGGGGGACCCGAGTCAGACTGGACCGGGGCGGCAGGGCGCACCCGCCTCCCCTCCCCACGGCCACGCACGCGCCTTCGCCTCCCCTGGCGGGAGGGGCGAGCCGGCCCGGGGTCCGCCCGCCCCCAGCCCGGCTCCCCAGCGCCCCCCGCCAGCGCCCTGGCGGCCGGCGGGGCTGACGCCGCTGTCTGGCAGGGGCCAGGCCCAAGAGGACGCAGCGGCTGAGCGCGGAGACCTGGGACCTGCTGCGGCTGCCCCTGGAGCGGGTGAGCGGCCAGGGCGGGCCGGCGGGCCGGCGGGCGGGCGGGCGGGCGGGCGGGCGGGCGGGCGGGCGGGCGGGCGGGCGGGCGGGCGGGCCGGCGGGCGGGCGGGCGGGCCGGCGGGCGGGCGGGCGGGCGGGCGGGCGGGCGGGCGGGCGGGCGGGCGGGCGGGCGGGCGGGCCGGCGGGCGGGCGGGCGGGGGGGGGGGCGGGCCGGCGGCTGGGGACACGCGGGGGCGGAGGAGGTCAGAGGCCAGCGCGTGGCCGCGGGCTAATGGGGCCGCTCGCTGCCTGTCCGCTGAGCTGCACCTCTGTCCATCACCCCTGCCGTCGGGTCCGAGGCCCCCAGGCCCGGGGTGCCACCGCCCACTCCCTCCCTCCATCAGGGCCCTGCCCGCGTGACCCTCACCCCGCAGCCCCTCGGCCCTGCCTGGCCACGTCCCAGCCCCATCAGGGTCTGGGGTGCGGGTGGCCCGCCCACGCCTGGCCTCCCGCCCTCCCCAGGAGCAGAATGGAGACAGCCACCACGCGGGGGACTGGCGGGGGCCGGGCGGGGACCTGCTGCCCCTCCCGGTGAGGAGCAGGAAGTACCAGGAGGGGCCGGACGCTGCTGAGAGGAGGCCCCGGGAGGGCGGCCACTCCCCGCTGGACAGCGCCGAGGTCCGGGTGCAGATGCCACACACGGTAGGCAGCCTCTCGGCCCAGCAGGGGGCTCGGGGCCTCACCGCCCACCAGGACCAGACGGGGGCAGAGGTCACGGCCCTGGCTGCCCGGGACCTGCAGGGGGCTGTCAGCCGCACCCAGCCGGGCCGACCCCGCGGACAGAGCCGCAGTGCCAGCGAGGACAGGGCAGCCCACCTGGGGACGGGATGGCCTACAGCCTGGCAGGTGTCCCACTGTGCCCTGAAGCCCCTCCAGGCTCATGGGAGCAGGTCAGGGTTCAGAGGTCAGCCTGAACCCCTGGTCCAAGCCTCTGGAATCGGTCTAAACACAGTTCCCTCCGAGCTGTCCCGCCGTCCCCGCCTGTGGGTATGGGTGCAGGATTCTGCTTCCCACCCCTCCCCCTCTGCCGCCCCCATCTGGCCCCGGGCTGCTCAGCGGCCAGGGCCTGTGCGCATGGAGCTGAGGAGGGGACCCTGGTCCCCGGTGATTGGCTGTGCTGTTGGGGACCGGGCAGAGGGCCTCAGCCCAGGGGAGGGCGGTGCGGTCCGAGGGCCTGGGAACTGGCCTTGGGACCGGGCATGGGGACAGCGCTGGGCAGGCCCAGGGGGCCCGGGGGAGCCCTGGAGCGGCCCAGCCAGAGGGGACCGGACGGGGAGGACCCCACACCCAGGCCCCGGAGCCACGCGGCCGTGGCACAGGCAGGACCGACAGGGCTGTGAGGGGGTGACGCCCGGCCTTGCCCGTGGCCCCGTCCCCGGGCTCCCCACCCCGTGCTTCCCAGGCGGCAGCACCCCGCTGTCATGTGACCCGGGCTGATCGAGACGGGGGCAGAGCCCGAACCCCACGCCTGAGAGAACAAAGGGGACCCGTGTTCTGGCTCCCGCACGCCTCTCCCACGTCGGCCTCCCACGGGCGGCCCGTTCGGAGGTTTCGCAGAGGCAGCCGGGCCCACGTGCGCCCACCTCCACGCCGAGGCCTCGCTCCGGCCAGAGGTGGGCCCAGGCCCAGGGCCCAGGCCGGCCCGGTCCAGCCAGGCCAGCGTGCCCCCGGCCCCCGTCCGTCAGCCCCGCCACGCTGCTCCCGGCACCCCGGTAGCTACCACCTGGAACCCCTTCTTCTGAGCAGACAGCAGCCGGCACTCGGGCCTGCCCTGTGCAGCTCATTCACAGAAACCCTAGAGGGGAAACTGAGGCAGAGGGCAGGGGTGTCAGCCCAGCACCTGAGGCGTGGCCCTGTGAGAACAGCGGGCTTTGGGGTGCCGGTGTTGTGGGGGGACTCCTATGGCAGTGCTGAGCCCGGCCCCACTGGAGGCCCGGACCCCGATGGCAGGGGGAGCCCCTGCCCGCCAGGCACCTGGCCCAGCTCCCTGACGGGAGGCAGCCTCAGGGGGCAGAACCTGGGCTGTGGGGGACCCCCGCCCCCGGGCTCTGTGCTTGCTGTGGGAGGAACGGGGCAGGGAGGAGGCCCAGGCCCCATCCTGTCCGCAGTCCTGCAGGCGCACAGCCACGGCAGGTGCTTCTGGGTGAGTCCCGCCCGGCTGGCCGCTGTAACAGGACAGGCTCCGAGCCAGCCAGAGGCCAGGCCCCAGGGCCCCAGGGCAGGGGGGGGCGGGGGCTGCTGTGGGGGGCGGGGCCGTGGGGGTGTCCGGCTACACAGCCGGTGCAGAGGGTGACCGAGCCCCAAGGGGGACGGCCCTGGCCCAGCTCCCGGGGCTGCAGCAGCCCTGGCCCCCAAGCGGCTGGGGAAAGGGTGGTGTCTCCGGGCTGCCCAGCGAGGGAAGGACGCGGGGCTGGGGTGGGAGTGGGGTCCCATCTCCCCGGCCCTCCGGGGTGACCCCGGGCCCAGCCAGCAGGCTCAGTGCTGTGCTCAGGGAAATCCATTTCCGAGTGTTTACGGAGCGCCTGTGCGTGTGCGTGAGGGGGAGAGGGGGAGGGAGAGAGAAGAGAGGGAGAGAGGAGAGGGAGAGAGAGGGAGCGAGCTTCAGCTGGTGGGCGGGGACGGGAGGGCCCCCACCAGGTCCTATTTAAGCTCACAGCTCACAGGGCCCCGAGTCTCAGCGGCGAGGTGGCACGGGCACCTGGCGTCCTGCCTGGCTCCACGTGGCCAGCACCTGGTGGACCCAGCGAGCTCCGGGCGCCGTGTGAGTGGGGCCCTGACAGGTGGAGGGGGGCCTTCTGGTCCGGGAGAAGCTGGGCCCCAGCAGAGCTATGGGGCGGGGGGGGCAGGTGGGCGTGCAGCCAGCCCTGGGAACTGGGTGACCCGTCACCCCAGGGCCCCGTGCCCGGTGAGTTAGGGTGCTCCCTGCCCCGCGGCCTCCCCCCTGCCCTCCTCCTGCCCTGGGCTCTGGGCAGCACTGGGCTGTGGCATCACCCCAGGGGCTGGTGGGCAGGCTGGGAGGGGCAGCCAGGCCGGGGGGCGGCTGTGCTCCCCATGAGGGGCTGGCTGAGACCCGAGGGGCTCCGAGACCCGGGGGACGGAGCCCGAGTTTGGGGCAGAGGAGAGGCTGGGGCATGGGACAGCCCTGTCACCTCCCGGTGGGAGCAGGGGGGGCCTGAACAAGGCTGTGGGGCTCCCGGCTGTCCAGACCCTCCCGTGTGCCCTGGTATCAGCCCCCACGTCACACGGGGAGCGTCAGCCCTTCCCAGGTGCCCCAGAGGGTGGGGGCGCCCGGCCCGGCGTGGGCTCTGCTGGAGGCTCAGAGCCACTGGCCAGCGGTGCAGGCCCAAGCCGGCCTGCCTGGCCCCGACCCCGGCCCCGACAGGCTACAGAGGCCTTGGACAAAGCCTCTCCTGAGCGTCAGTCTGGGGGAGGCTGGAGAGGTTGGGGTCACACCTGTCCTGGCTCCCCTCCCCTGGCCCTGTGTGGGTGCTGCTGTGCTCACCCACTCCTGGCTGAGCCGGGAGCAGAGCCCACGACCTACAGTGGAGGCGGCCAGTCAGGGCCCCTCATGCCAGCTGTGAGGTTGGGGGACACAGGAGAGCAGGGACCTGTGGGGTTAAGCTATGTACCCTTGGCTCCGGGCCTGCCCAGCGGGGGGGGGGGGGGGGGGGGGGAGGAGGTCCTGCCTGGGTCTCTGACCTGGAGCTGCCACCCCCCGAGCGGGAGGCCAGGCTGGGCTGCTCCGGCTGCTGTGTGACCTGTGTGTGTGTGTGTGGGGGGTGACCTCTGCCTCAGTCTCCCCTGTGAGGTGGTGGTGTCTGCACGCCCAGCTCAGGGTGAGCCGGAGGCCACGGCTGAGAGAGGGCGGTGGGCTGGCAGGGGAGGTGACGGGGTGCTGTTTGGCCAACAGCGTCATTGTCATCCCTCAGGCCCAGGCCAGGCCGGGGCGGGAGGCTGGGGGGTTGGCCTGCTCTGGCTCTGCCCTTTGGGGTGGCCCCACAGACCCCACCTTCCAGCCACCCTCCTGTGGATGTGTAAACCGAGGCCCAAAGTCACCCTGCCAGGAGGGCCTCCCCAGGCCCGGGACCCAGGATCTTGTCCCTTCCCTCCAAGGACCCTCACCCTGCCCTGGCCCCGCCGGGGGGACCTGCCTGGCCCAGCTGGGTCACCCTGGGGTCAGGCTGCACGGACGGCGTCTCCCGGGGCCCAGGTGGTCCAGCTGCAACCCAGGGGTGGGCACGGTCATGGCCGAGGGCGGGCGGGCTGGACGGCGGTGCTGGGGGCAGGGCGGGGCCGCTGGGACCAGCAGAGGCCGAGGGGAGTCCTGCCCTGGCCCAGGCCCGGCAGCCCCCGGGCCGTGTTTGTGGGGGTGCCGACTGCCCCCCTTCCCGCCCCCAGAGCCTCCCGCGGGTCCCGTCCGCGGACGAGGAGTGCTTCTTCGACCTGCTGAGCAAGTTCCAGAGCAGCCGCATGGAGGACCAGCGCTGCCCGCTGGAGGAGGGCCAGCCCGGGGCCGCCGAGGCCATGGCCGCAACCGCCCTGGAGGAGCGGACGGGTGAGCCCGGCTCCCTGACCTTGAAGGTGCCGAGCCCCCGGCTCCAGGGCAGGCGCGGGCGCGGGCGGTGCAGCCAGCTGCAAAGTGCCCCCTGTCATTCCCGCCCCCGCCGCCCAGAGCTGCCTCCCTCCGGGCCGCGTCATCCCGCCCCCCGCCCGCCCGCCCTCCAGGCTGGTGCCAGGAGCGCGTCTGGGGGCGGGGCCGGGGATGCTCCCCTCCTGTCGCTCCCTGGAGGCAGGGGTGGGCCCCCTCGGGGTGCTGTGGGCGGGGCCGGGCTGGCACCTCGAGCGCCGCCCGCCCTCCTCCGGGCTGACCCCCGCCCGGACCCTGTCCCCCAGCCCCGCCGCCGCTCACAGCCTCCCCGCAGACGGAGGAGCTCTTCGACCTCATCGCCAGCTCGCAGAGCCGCCGGCTGGACGACCAGCGGGCCAGCCTGGGCCGCCTCCCCGGGCTGCGCGTCACCCACAACAACCTGGGCCACCTGCGGGGCGACCGGGACCCCCCAGCGCCCGGCGACGAGTTCTTCAACATGCTCATCAAGTGCCAGGTGGGCGTGCGGGCTGCCCGGCCCCGGCTCTGCCCTCCTCTCAGGCCGGTCTGGGGGAGCCAGAGGGGGGGGTGTCGTGACAGGGCGGCTCAGCAGGTGTCACCCAGCGGCCACAGGTGGTCACATGCCCTGAGGCCACGCTGGACGTCCTCAGGTCGGCTGTGCATACAGAGCTGGGAGTCCCCAGGCCCCCAAGGCAGTGGCTTCGGGGACCCCTCAGCCTTCCACTCTGGACAGAGAAAAGCCAGACGGCCCCCGGAGCCCCCCGCACGGGGCCCAGGGCCAGGAGAGCCGGGCGGACAGGCGGTGGGAGTGGGGCGGGGCGGGCAGAGCGGGCAGAGTGCAGACGTGACGCTCGTTCCACAGACAGGAAAGCACGGGCCTCGGCGAGCCCGGGGAGCCCCCCGCGCCCCCCGTCCACATGCACACAGGCTCCTGGCCCTTCTGCTCCAGACCCTGCGGAGAAGCCCACGCGCCCGCTCGGCCCCCGCCTCCAGCTCGGCCAGAGGCCCCTGAGCAGCTCCCACCTCGGCCTCCCGCCCCGTCCCAGGGGCTCCTGCCACACACTCGGTGCTCGGGGGCCCCGGGCAGCTCCTCTCCCACCTGGCTCACCCCCCCCTCCCAGCGCTGTCCCCCAGGGGCCGCCGGCCCGGCCTGGCCGCAGCCCTCGCCCGGGGCTGTCCACGGGCCTCGCCGGCCTGGAGGGCGAGGCCTGACCGTGTGTCGCTCTGCCCAGTCCTCCAGAATCGACGACCAGCGCTGCCCGCCGCCCGACGGGCTGCCCCGCGGGCCCACCATGCCCGACGAGGACTTCTTCAGCCTCATCCAGAGGGTGCAGGCCAAGCGCATGGACGAGCAGCGGGTGGACCTCGCCGGGAGCCCGGAGCAGGAGGCGGGCGGGCCCCCCGAGCCTCGGCAGCAGTGCCAGCCCGGCACCAGCTAAGGCCTCGAACCCACAGCCAGCGCCCCCCTCCCGGATGCCTGGGGAGCGGCTCTGTCGTCCAGGCTGCCTGCAGCCTCTGAGAAGCTGATCCTCCCAGGCCGTGGCTGGAGCAGGCTGGGCGCCCGAACTTCCCACTGAGCCGGACTGGGCACCCCCCACCCCAGGGTCCCTCCCCGGGGCGGCAGGCTCGGCCTGTATCGGGGAGGCCTTCTCTGTCCTGGGCCCATCCCCCGCGGTACACGGCTCCCCACAGGCCTGCCCGGCCAGCCCCTCCTCGGCCCTGCCCCTGCCCCGGACCTGCGGCATGTCAGCCCCAGACCAGTGCTGTCCAGGCCCGGGCCTCTCCCTGCCCACCGCTGTCCTGCGGCCAAATGTGAAAACCCTGCTGCCCCCCGCCCAGGTCTGTGCAGCCTCCTCGGGGGCCACCACAACATGGACGTCCATCCGTCCTCCCAGAGCTGGTCCCAGTCCGGCCTCACCCCCAGGAGGGCCCCCGCTGTCCTCCCCTTCCTCCTCCCCAGGCTCCCTGAGCCCCAGCCCCAGGGGCCCCAGCAGGCAGCCCGAGGGGAGGGGGGGTGAGCGTCCAGTTCCTCGGCTCCGCGCTCGGGAGCCCGGCCGGGGCCGGGGATGGGGCCTGGCCCTGCGGGGACCGGGGCCAGCCAGGCCTCCCCCTGCCCATGCCGGACGGGCAATGGCCTGGAGGCTGCCACACGGCCATGGGGCGGCAGCGGGTCAGCAGAGCGGGGAGGCCCGCCCCGCCCTCCCCCCACCAGCTAGGGCTACATCGTCCTGCCTCCTCCCGGTGTGGAGGGGTTCTGCCCCTCCCGGTGCCCAGGTTGGCCCTCACCCACACCCGTTCCTGGGCCCACTTACAGCCCCTCCCCCACCCCCAGCCTGGGGTGGATTCTCTGCCCCAAGACACAGATGGCACCTCCTCTTCCAGGTCCTGCTCCGGAGCCGCCCTGGGCCCTGGGCGGAGGGGAGGGGCGCGGAGGGGTGTGGGGCCGAGGGCGGGCTGGCAGTGCGGTCAGGCGCCAGGGCTCCGGCCTCTGCTCGCCGCCCGGAACTTGAACGTCTGTGCGTATTTATTGCCCTCCGTGTCGGCCACGCTGTCCACGGTCCTTTCCGAGCCAAGGGTACGTTATCCTTCTGTTTTTCCGGAGAAATAAAGTCGGCCAAGCGAATGCTGTTTGTGTGGGTGTTAGGGGGGTGGGGGGTAAGCTAGGCGGCGGCAGACGCCCCAGGCTCCCACATGCCTGCCCACCTGGAGTGCCTGCTCCACCCCCACCCCTACCCTCACCCCTCGGCCTGGCCCTGCCAGGGGCAGCCGCTGTCCTAACTGGACTCACATGCCAGGAAGTGCCTGCCTTTCGGGTCTCAACGGCCTGTGAAGGTGCAGCTGAGAGAGCAGCCTGCGGGCGACGCCCCGCAGACAGGGACCCCCCAAAAGGCACTGTGCCCAGGAGGCCCCTTCTCCTCACTCCCCGTGACCCACGGCTCTGTCCACACCCCACACCGACCTCAGGGCCGGGACCGCCGAGGGGCGAGGGTGGCTCGGCAGGGACCGCAGGCGGGAGCACACAGTGGCATCGCTCCTGAGATGGAGCCGGGCCTTCCCCTCTCAACATTTCATGCTCCGGCACCCTGGGTCCGGGCGCTCCGTGGCAACACCGGCGCCATGTCCCTTCCCGCAGCCGCAGGCAGTCGTGGGCGCTGCCGAGCCCCCTGAATGTCCCGACACACGCCCTCTGGCCTCTCGGAGAGGGCTGGCGGGGGGGGGACTGAATGTCCCGACACACGCCCTCTGGCCTCTCGGAGAGGGCTGGCCGGGGGGGGGGGGGGGGGGGGACTGAGGGGCCGGGGGCAGAAAGCGGAGAAGCCGGGCTGCAAAGGGCCACTGAGAGGAGAGGCCGTGGATCCTGTGGCAGGTCCCACGGGAGGGGCCCCCAGGCCACGGGCCACACGGGAAGGTTGCGGGTGGCAGAGGCAGGGAAGAGGACATGCACAGGCTGGCAGGCCCCGGACTGGCTGGCACCAACACCCAGTTGGGGGTGCCCTGGGCGTCTAGTGCCTCCCCGGTGCACGCAGACATCTGTCACCTCTCTGGGGGTGAGGGGGATGGGGGACAGTCCCTCCAGCGTCAGCAGGGCTTATAGGTCAAAGCATCAGAAAATAAAAATCGACACGGTCAACACACACATCTAAGCCACAAGCCCAGCAGTGAAGGGAGGGTCCTGGGAAGCCCTGCCAGGTCCAGCCAGCTCCCCAGGCCTCCCCGAATCCTGCCCCAGGGCCCGGCCCCGCTCCTGCCCCAGGGCAGCCAGGCCCCGCGTGGTCGGCGCTCCGTAGAGGGCAGGCGGGGGCGCTGAGGACACGTCCCTGTGGCTGGCAGGGAGGCGCTGGCGGGAATAATGAGGGGGGTGTGCCAGGGAGAGGACAGGGGGTAATCGAGGCAAAGCAGGAGCTGCCGGCGCCGGAGAACAAAGCCGAGGCTCGGGGGCCGCACGCTCGGGGCTCAGATCCTGCCGAGATCTGACGGCTGTGATTCATGCTGAAGGTCACACAGCCCAGAACACTCGGGGAAGTAAACACACTTTCATAAACACAGGAACATCCTGGGGAGGCCGTCAAACACGGCTGCGAGACAAACCGCACGCCCCAGGGGGCGGGGGAGAACGGACCATGAGGGGCACCCCCGCCTCCTCCCCTTCATGGCAGCCCAGCCCCCCGGCAGCTGCGGTGAGCAGCCTGTGTCCAGGGGGTGGCAGGTGGCAGGGAGGGATCTGGGGGCCTCCCTGCATCTGGCCCTGAGTGCTGATCCTGCCTCAGGAAGGACAGTGGTTCACGGCCGTCCCTCCCAGGCCTCTCCCCAGAAACACCGGTCCCGGCTGAGCCCCCCTGTGCCTGCACCCCGTCTGCTCTTCCCACCCTCCCTGACGGGGACACAGCCTCCTCTGCAGAGGGGCAGGCAGAGGTTCCTCAGGGCAAAGGGACCCACCCCCCAACCCCCCGCCAAGGCCACACTGCCAGGCAGGAGGCCTCAGACTCCACGTCCGGCCCCGAGAGGACATGGCCAGCTCCGGTGAGCGGGCGCCGGTGGTGGCCGGGGTTGCTGGGAGTTCCTGACTCAGCACCAGGGACGGCAGCGGAACCCAGGATGCCTGTTTATTGCCGGGGCAGCCCTCCCCGGGGCGGCGGGCGGGGTCAGCGGGGTTCTGTCTTGCCAGGGGGGGTGGGATCCTCGTCCGCACCCCCTTCGGTCGCAGTGGTAGATTCGGGGGCCCCCGCAGCCTCTAGCACCAGCTCCAGAGCCCCATCACCGGCCACTCGGCGCACCTTCTCCCCTCTGGCCGCCAGGATCTCTTCAACGTTCCTGTGAGAGAGGGGGCGCCATGACACCCCGGCCCTCACCGGCCCGGCACGCGGCCCTCGAGGGCACCGAGGCCAAGCGTGAGCCGGAACATGGGTCCCTGCACTGGGTAGCATCCGGGCCACTGCACGCTGCCCTCGGGGGCCTGCTTCACGGCCCCAGGGGGGATGAGCGCCCATTCCCAGGGAGAATGCGACTCGGACGCCAATCTGAACTGCGAGGGCCACTGGCTCGAAGCTCCCAACCGCGGCCGCCCCTGCTCTCCGAGCGCAGACAACTGCAGGCCCAGGCCTCGTCCACACGCTGCACACGCACCCGCCGGCGTGGAGGGAGGACGGCTCCCTGCCCCTCGCAGGCCCTCGAGAATCTTCGTAGGGGAAGGAAGGAGCCATGAAATGCAAGGAGCCCAGGACACGCCCCTATAAAATAGCCCCGCCCTGCCTGGCCCTCCTGTCCGCCAGGCCTGTGGCCCTGACAAGTGGTCCTGGGCTTATTTGTTCAGTTATTGGTATTTCGCTGCGCCTCCGGGCGGATAAGTGAGAGAAGAGGGCTTGTGAGCCTCACTAGGGTGAGGGTGCCCCAGGGAGGCGGGGTGGGGCTCTGACCCGCACTCTGTCCCCACCCCTGCCCAGGTGGCCTCCTCACCTCTTCCCATCCAGGTCGGAGAACCAGCCCAGGTTGTCCGCGATGATGTGGTGGTTCTGGCAGCCAGGGCAGGTCACAATGACCACTCCCTGGTGATAAGCCAGCTTGGAGATCCGCTTGGAGGACCGGGTCCCACACACCTGGTGGAGCATGGAGACACGGCAGGTGAGGCCATGGGCCCGCCCTTGGGGATAGCTCCACCCCTCCATGCGGCCCCTGCCCTCCCAGAGGACACGCCCCCGAAGGGATAGCACCACCCCTCTCTCAGAAGGCCCGCCCCTCCCAGGACACGCCCCTGGTGGTAGCTCCACCCCTCTCCCAGAAAGCCCTCCCCTAGGACACGCCCCCTAAGGCATAGCTCCACCCCTCTCCCAGAAGGCCCGCCCCTCCTAGCTCACGCCCCTGATGGTAGCTCCCTCCCTCCCAGGACACGCCCCCTAAGGCATAGCTCCACCCCTCTCCCGGAAGGCCCCGCCCTCCAAGAACATGCCCCTATGGAATAGCCCCACCCCTGTCCCAGAAGGCCCCTCCCCTCCGAGGACACGCCCCTATGAAATAGCTCCACCCCTCTCCCGGAAGGCCCCGCCCCCGGGGACAGCGCCATTTCCGCATGGCCCGCCTCCCCCAAGAGCACGCCCCCTCCAGGCGGTCGCCCCGCGCCCCGCGCCCACCTTGCAGGTGTAGACGAGCTGGTAGTGCGCCGCCCGGGGCGCCTGCTCGGAGCTCCAGCGCCGCGGGCCGCAGAGCCAGGGCCGGCCTCCCCCCGCGGCCTCCAGGCGGGCCCCGCGCCCGCACAGCCGCCTCACGCCGGGCCCCCGGGGCCGCGCGCGGCTCAGCAGCGACCACACGCGGCCCAGCGCCGCCCGCCACATCCCTCCCGCCTACCCGCGCCGCCGCGCTCCCGCCATCTTGGCGGCGGCGGAAGGCCCTCCTGGCGCCGGGCGCGGCTGCCCCCTGGCGGCCGGCGGGGCGGGGCGGGCCCTCTGCTCCCTGCGGCGGCGGCGGCTTAGGAGCTGCGCTGCTTTTCTCTTTTAAAAACCATTTTTATTGATGTCCGGAGGAGGGCCGAGGAGAGGCGGAAACACCAGGGATGGGAGCGCCCCGGGTGGCGCCTCCCGCACTGGGATCGGCCCGGGACGTGGCCGGTGCTCCGGACCCGGGTCCGCCGGCCGCTCGGCGCCGCTAGGAGCCCTCGGTGTCCGTGTTGTCGCTGCCCGTCGTGTTCTCCCAGTCCACCTCCCCCTGCCGCGGGCCCGGCTGCATCTTGCGGAGCGCGCGCTTCCTGCGGGAGCGAGGCCGGTGTGGGGTCCGAGGCCGGCCGCCCGCGCCCGCCGCCCGCCCCCTCCAGCCCGGGCCCCGCCCCCCGGCCCCCGCCCCCGCCCGCCGCCCGCCCCCTCCAGCCCGGGCCCCCGCCCCGCGCCCCGCGCCCCGCGCCCCGCCCGCCCCCGGGCCCCCGCCCCGCCCGCCCCCGGCCCGCGCCCCCCGCCCGCCCCCTCCAGCCCGGGCCCCCGCCCCGCCCGCCGCCCGCCCCCTCCAGCCCGGGCCCCCGCCCCGCGCCCCGCGCCCCGCGCCCCCGCCCGCACCGGCGGTAGTTCTCGAAGCTCTCCTTGAGGCGCCGCCGCTCCTTCTCGGGGGGCTCCCCGCCGCCCAGCCCCGCGTCCTGCAGCAACGGGCTCGGCTGAGCTTGGGGGCCGGGGGGCGGCACCAGCTCCGGGCGGGGAGCGGGGTGGGGGCCCCTCTTGGAGGACAAGCCAGACCGGGCGCCCCCGCGGGCGGGGCTCCGGGCCGGATGCCTCCGGGCGGGGCGGGGGCTCCCGGGCAGCGGTTCCGTTAAGGCCGTTAAGGCCGAGTGGCCGCACAGAAGACAGCCCCCCACCCCCGCCGGGGCCCACCGCTTTGTGCAAGGAGGGGCTCGGCTTCAGGTTCCAAACGCTGCACCCAAGAGCCATGGGCAGAGACCCTGTGCCCCCTCCCTCCCAGCCCAGGCCACCCCGGCAGCCTTACGTTGGGGGTCAGCAAGGGCCGCTGCCTCGGCAGAGCCTCCAAGGACTGCTCCGGGCTCTCGCCGTCAGCCTGGCCGCCTGCAAGGAGCCGGTGCCTGTGGTGCCGCCCTGCCAGGACCCAGCGTGTCCGGCCGGCGGCACCCCTCCTCGCCCTGGTGCTGCCCGCCCAGCCTGCTCTGTCTGCTGCGGACCCCCCCCAAGGAGCCCAATGTACAGACGCCCCGGGCGCTCCCACCTCCACCTCCGCTCCCCCTGCCAGCACGGCCACCCCTCCTCGGGGCCAGAGGGTTCCTACTGCTGGGCCCGTCCCCGTGGGCCAGGGCCTGGGTGGCCCAGGGCTCGGTGCCCTGAGGGGCTGGCTCCCCTAAACTGGCCGTGCGGGGGAGCTCTGGGTTCGAGTGGCAGGGACACCAGTGCGAGCCCAGGTCCCTGCCTGGAGCTGACCCTCCCCTTGAGCCTCTAACCCTGAGCCCCCCTCCCCCCAGGAGCCGCCTCCCCGGGCCAGGGCCCCCTGTGGGGCTCCGAGCCCCAGCTCAGACCAGCCCCCCCACTTCTCTATTCGGTGCCCCTTCTTCCGCTTTTGCCCCTCTGGAAGCGGGGCAGGCCTGATGCGGAGGAAGTGTTGCCTGGCTTCCCACACCAGCCTCTGCGGGGGCCCCAACACCCCGACCCCCGCCCTGGCCCAGTGCCGGACCCCACCTTCAGAGCCAGCCCTGCCCGTTACCCGAAGCCCCAGCTCCCCACCACCCCACAGCCCCTGTCCCCGCTTCCAGCGCGGCACACCTGGGTGCCAGCCGGCTGCTGCCCCGCTGCTCCCCGCTCAGTCCGGGGCTGGAACTGGAGCTGGACACAGCCGGCAGGCCGGCCCCGGGTTCAAGTGGGGCTCTCGTTGGCTCCTGGGGGACTCCAGGGGTCACTTCTCCCTCCCAGTGCCCCCAGGTGTGAAGTGCACAGGACAGGCGGGAGAGCACCCCAGGCGCCAGCCACGTGGGGGGCGTGGCGGAGGGTCAGGGCTGGCACCAGCTCGCCCTCCTCACCTCTGTCCGAGAGCCGGCCGTCCTCCTCCAGGTCCCGGGGGATCGAGAGCTTCCGGGGAGAGACGGGCGGCCGGTCAGGACAGGGCCCCGCGGCCCACCTCCCCGCCCGCTGCTCCCCTCCCTGCCCCCACCCCCGCACAAGCCCCCGGGGGCTCCGCGGCCCAGCCGGCCAGGGCACGGGGCGCTGCCCGGTCCGTCCTGCCGAGCACGCAGCGGCCCCGCGGGCACCAGCTGCCCGTCCTCTGCCCGGCGGCGTGTCGGGGGAGAGGGGCTGGCCCAGCTCCCGGAGCGGCTGGCAGGCGGCGAGCTCCTGGGACCGCCCAGGGCCGCACACGGGTGCGGGCTGAGGCGGGAGCCGCCGGGGCACACTCACCTCCTGAGAGTTCCTGGGTGAGCTGTCCTCCAGGTCGGAGCTCTGCGGTCACAGGAGGGGCGGTCAGCAGCCCGCGGGGAAGCTGAGCCGTCTGGGGGATGGGCGGGGGCGGGTGGGGGTGGGAGCGGGGAGGGGTCCCAGGCCAGTTCTCCAGGGAGTCCCCTCTGCCCTCCCCGCACCCAGAGCCACCGGCCAGGGGGTTGAGGAGGGCCCGGGACCTGCCAGGCCACCAGCGGGCAGTGGCCGGGCCAGACCAGCACTGAGGCTCTCCAGCGGTGCTCCCTCTGGGCTCTGGGGTCCCTGGGGACATGCCTGCACCAGGGCCCCCCCCCCCAGGGCTCCCCTAGCGCCCCCCACGCCCCCATGCCCAGGAGGCGCACCAGGACCAGCATCTCCAGCTGCTGCCGCTTGAGCCGGCCCTCGGCCGCCAGCAGCTGGCCCTCGCGCTGGAACAGCTGCAGTTGTAGCTCGTCCGCCTTCTCGCCCAGCTCCCGGGCCTGCTTGCGCAGCGCGTCCTTGTCCTGCAGGCTGCGGGCATACTGCGTGTGCAGCTGCTCCCGGGACGCGATGGCCTGCGGGGAGACCCTGGTGGGCACCGGGCGGCCGCCCGCCCGGCGGCCTCTGCCCGCCCAGGAGCGCCGTGTCCATGGAGGCTCCTGGCGGGAGGCGAGGGCAGTTCCGAGAAGCAAGGACAGGGAGGTCTCCGCCCAGCCCGCCGGCCGGCGCCCTGGGACAGGAGCACTCCGCCCCCCATGGGCTCAGGCATCTGCTGTGGTTCACATCAAACCACCATGGTGCAGCCCTAGCCGGTGTGGCTCAGTGGATAGAGTGTTGGCCGAAGGGTCCTGGGTTCGATTCCCAGCCAGGGCACAGGCCTGGGTTGTGGGCTCGATCCCCTGTGCGGGGCGTGCAGGAGGCAACCGATCCATGATTCTCTCTCATCATGGATGTTTCTGTCTGTCTCTCCCTCTCTCCCTCCCTCTCTGAAACCAATAAAATCTATTTAACCACAGTGATTGTGAACAGCCGAGGAACCTTCTTTAAAATGAGCCCGTCACACGGTGCCACGCCCACCCCCACGGAGCCGAGCGGACAAATGCCCACAGCCAGACCACGTCCAGCTCAGCCCACGGCCCACAGCCACCGAGGGCAGTGCTGTCTGGGGGACCGCCCCGGCACAGGGCGGCAGCCAACCCAGGTTAAAAGTTATTTGCAGAACAAGACAGATGCTTCTGATTTTGCAAAATGAAACGAAGCTGTATGACATACAGTGTATGTAGTGGACAAAGCCTGGGAAGGCCGGTGGGAGGTGGGTTTCCTGCAGCCGGCGGGCGGAGGCGGCCGGTGGTACTAACTTCACGCCCGTTCACATGGCTCCTGTCCTTTTGCAGCCACGTGGAGCCTGGCTGCTGTGGCTCAGTGGGTTGAGCATCGTCCCAGGTTCGATTCCCAGTCGGGGCACAAGCCCGGGTTCCGGGCTCGCTGCCCAGGAGGCGGCGTGCAGGAGGCAGCTGATCCATGTGTCTCTCTCGTCTCTCATCAATGTTTTTCTCTCCCTCTACCTCTCCCTTCCTCTCTGAAATCAATAAAAATATTTTTTTTAAAAAAGCAAAAAGGAATAAATAAAAACCACTCGGATAACGACCTCCCACCCCCTCGAGCAGCCCCTGAGATGGGAGAACAGCCCTCGGCGCCCGCCCTCCGCGGCCCCTACCTGGTCCCGCTCGATGGCCACCTCCTCCAGCTGCTGCAGGATGGCCTCGATGCGGTCCTTGTACATCTTGGAGTCCTTCCGCAGGGCCTGGCACTGCAGCTCGAACACCTCCTTCTCCTCCATGCACTGCCGGGGAGCGGGCCAGTGGTGGGGTGAGGAGCGGGCCCTGTGCCTCCAGGAGGGGGCCCGGGACGTGGGGCTGAGAGGGAGGGCCCGGGCAGACCTGCCGCCCACCCCCTGGCGGCCCCGGCCGCGCCCTGCCCCGCGAGTACCCGGGCACGCAGCGCCTCGGCCTGGCGCAGGTCCTTGCGCAGGGCGAAGAGGGCGCTGGCCTGCTCCTGGTGCTCCCGCAGCGCCTGCCGCCAGTCCTCCTCCAGCACCTGGATGTAGGGGCTGCCCTTGTCCGGCCTCCCCTCCTGCGGGCGGCCCAGGGCGCCGGGCGGCAGGGCGGCGGCCGGGCGGGGGCAGGCGCCGGCCTCCAGCTCCTGCACCCGCGCCTGCAGCAGTGCCTTCTCCTGCTGCAGCTCCCACAGCAGCTCCTGGCTGGGCCGCTGCTCCATGGCGTGCCGCAGCTTCAGTGTGTGCTTGCGCTCCACCTTGCAGTCGTCCTCCGCCTTC